GCCAAAATGGTAGCCTAGATTTTGCCCCCTCCATGAAGGAAAAATCTGGCCCTCATTCAAACCTTTGGGGCTGAGCAAAATTTTGCGTATCATATATATATATAAGTTGTACACTGAGACAAAACTGTACTAAATGAGAAGGGTGCACCATTATGAAAGTGGAACGAACTCAGTTGCCTGAAAAGGGTGTCCCCCGGTAATTTGAGCATGTGTGGCCTAAATAAGCTAAACCCCCCTCCCTTACCTTATTTAGGTCACACTGAGGCCCAAATAAGCTAAAAACCCCCTCCCTTACCTTATTTAGGCCATATGTGGCCTAAATAAGCACTCCCTAAAAATTACACACTTTAGTGTTAATTTGAGCAAATGTTGCTGAATTTTTTTCTCCTTGATTTATTTTGGGGGGGGCTACATGTGAGAATGAAGGAGACTATTGTGTGCTCGATATGCAATGAGCATTTTCATGCCTGGATTTAGACAAAATAGTTGTAGAAAGGAGGTTATAGTTTTTGTATTTGTTTACAGTGTCTGCTATCTTGCTGGTCAGCTTTTGCGGAGCATCAAAGACAACCAACCTAAGCTGGTCGACGCCATCAGAGATAAAGACATTCTGTGCGTGGAGATTGCTGGCCTGTGTCATGATTTAGGCAAGTAAATTCAATTCATTTCTTTTACGTATGTTTTTTTGTTTTTGTAAAATTTGTTCAGGATGTAGCCCTTGTGTTTAGTTATTATTATACTTATTTTCTTTGTTAAGGCCTCGCAGCTCTTTTGCTTTTTGTTTACACCATACCATTTCGTAGTGTTTGCTTTGTTGTTCTTATTATTTATTGTTGTGGGAAGCGGGTGTGTGTTGGTTTGGTTTTTTTGGGGTTGGTTGGATTTTTTTAAAAATATTTTTTTTTGGGGGGGGGGGGTATGCACTTCATTCTTGCTCAGCACATCTACTATTTTTTAAAGTCTCTCTCTCTCTCTTCTGGCACTGTGGCGTCATAAGCAGTCATCGATGCCGACAGCATGCAGAAATTCAACACTTGCTCAGGGGTCCTTGAAGAGTGCTGAACTTGAGTCACTGAAATGTCCGAGCAAACGTGGTCTGGCACGATAGTTGGCGGTACATTTCAGGAACAAGTGGTCCAGAGTCTGGTCCTCCTCCCTGCAAGCTTGACAAGACGAATCTGGGTAGTCCGCGGGCGCAATTTTGTGTAAATATGATTTCAGCTGGAGGGATTTTCCACCAGTTCTCATTTGGGAGAGAAGCCGCGGTCCTGTCGTCTGAGCGAGGCCTCAAGCTGGTATGATGGCGGCTGGGCGAGCAGTTTGGGTTTCCCCTCTCTTTTCCACTTTGCGCGGGTCGACCGGCGGATGACGGCTTTAGCTGTTGAGAAATCGATCGGTGTGTCGGTCTGGGTAAGCGCTGCTGCTTCTTCAGCGATGCTGTCAACTTCCTCATTCCCAGCTAGTCCAGCATGGCCCGGAATCCAATAAGTGGAAGGAACATTCGGAGCATTGACAAAGGGTGTGCAGACGCTGCAGACCTTGAGGTGCATGACTGCTGACCTGGAATCAGTGTATACAAGTGCGTACACTGTTCAAAAGACTGCCTGCTGTCTGTAGTGTTTCAAGCATGCCCAGGGCTGTGTCGAGAGCTATAAAATAACAATGCCGTCCCCCGGGTACACAGTGGTCAAGTTTGGTATCACCGGAGCCTCCATACTCGGTACCGTTTTTAGCTGAACCGTCAGTCCAGACTTCGACATTGGGCAGGGGGAGCGATCGAATGGTAGCCTCTGCTGCTGCTTTCCTGGCGTCTGGTTCATCAGCTCGCCTGCAGTCGACGACAAGAGCAGTTCTAAAGGTCACGTTCCGTTGTATGATGCAGCCTTTCACGGTTGTGTGGGAGGTAAAACAACCAGCTCCTCGTGTGGGTACGTACCCAGTTCAGTTTCAGCTACGAGGTTTTGGGCATGCTTTCTCCAGCTTGACTTGCTTGTCCGCGTAGACACTGATTTTGTTGTGGAGGCTCTGTGTTGATTTGTTTCCGGGGAGACGCATGGACTTTTTGAGTGAAATAGCGAAGAAGGCATCAGCTTAGTGGTACAGTGGGTGCCGCATTCAACGAGGTCACAATCAATGAGAAGTCGGCTCCAACGAGGCAATCCTTAATCCCCAGTTTTTCCTCTATATTTCTTTGTAAATGTACGTCAGCTCCATGGAGGTTGCAAACAAACCGAAGTCGCTTTCAACGAGGTCGCAATAACCAAATAAAGGCAATTAGCGTCCCCAAAATCGAAGAATTTTTCTCCTTTCTCTCCATCTCACGCGAAGCACAAGGCCCATCCTCGATTCCTAACACATTGTATTGCTAGACCTAGTGTGCTTGCTAATAAATATGGGCCCCAAAGCCAAGAGGATGAGCGAGGGTTAGCCTACGGTAGGGATGGGAGGGGGTGGGTGGGAACGCGATGCGGGCTGTGTGAAACTGGATGAACTCTGGATGGGTAGATATCCAAATCTAGATCGAGACCTTCATTTCAGGGTTGGTGATTTTTTTAAAATTTTAAAATAAAAATTTAAAAAATCAATTTTTTAAATTTAAATCAGATTTTTTGGATTTAAATCGGATTTTTTTTTTTTAAATGTCGACACAGTTTGGGATTTTTGGTGGCTAAAAGTAAGTTGTTTTAGTGCAAAATACATTGTCTTTATTTTAACTAATGATTAATTTAAGCAACTGCAATTTTAGAAAGCCTTAATCTGCTATGCTGTGAATTATGGCTACAGACAAAAAATGAAGAAAATGTCAGTCTAAAAGGAAGGGGGGGGGGGGGTGCATAGAGATAAACTTGCATTTTATTACAGTGTGTGTGTGTGTGCGCGCTTGTGTTTGTCTATAAAGAAAAAGAAAATGCTAATTTCAATTATGAAAAAAAAGTAAATTGAATACAGTATTATTTTACTACTTACAGTGACAAGGGGGAAAGCAGACTTTTAAGCATGATTATTTTAGTCTAATAAACCTTATATCTGTTTTATAAAACCAAGGAAAGGAATTCTGAATGTTTAAAGATGTAAAAACAGAATACATTTTTAAAAGTGATTTAAATCACTGAGTTTTATTTTAAACTGATTTAAATCGACCCGACCCTGTTTTTCAATTATGAAAAAAAAGTAAATTGAGAACTGTATTATTTTACAGTGACAGGGGGGAAAGCAGACTTTTAAGCATGATTATATTAGTCTACTAAACCTTATATTATTGTTTAATAAAACCAAGGAAAGGAATTCTGAATGTTTAAATATGTAAAAACTGAATACATTTTTTTTGAAAAGTGATTTAAATCACTGATTTTTATTTTTTAAATCAAGTTGATGAAAATTTTTAAAAATCAACTGATTTAAATCAACCCAGCTCTGATTTCAATTATGGAAAAAAAAGTAAATTGAATACTGTATTATTTTACAGTGAAAGGGGGGAAAGCAGACTTTTAAGCATGAATATATTAGTCTACTAAACCTTATATCTGTTTTATGAAACCAAGGAAAGGAATTCTGAATGTTGAAATGTGTAAAAACTGAATAAAAATAAAAAATTTTTTAAGTGATTTAAATCACTGATTTTTATTTTAAAAATCAAGTTGATTTAAATCAAAAAAATCAACTGATTTAAATCAACCCAACCCTGCTTCATTTTTTTTTCAATTTTCTTTTCTTCCCCTGATCAGAAAATCCAAGCTCCCTACTTTATATGGATATCTAGGCCTAGATGTGAGAGGGTATGTTTCCACACATGAAGTGTTCCGGAATTTAGAAAAAATTTTAATGCAGAAATGACGGTCAGAACACAGCTCAAACACGCGCACACTGATGCTGTTTGAGATTTTCGTCATCTGGGGGGAACAACTGTTTTAATGACTGGTATTGGTACATCCTATAATATAATATTTTGTCTCCTTTCTTTATTTTAGCCTTAGTCACGTTCAACGAGAGGTCGGATCCAACGAGGACAAACAAGCTGGTCCCGGCAACCTCGTTGAATGCGACACCCACTGTAGAATGTCTGCTTCAATGAGGAGGCTGTCCATATGAGTATCCTTTGAGCAGCCCGTGATGATTCTCACTGCTTCATTCTGCTTTCTTTCCAGTATCTGCAGATTGGAGAGTTTGGCAAGAGGCATGTAGACAGGGGCACAATAGTCGATAGCTGAATTTATCCTCACTTTGCTCTGGAGGAAACCAAGTACATGGTTGAACCTGCTCTGACGGCTGCCTGTTTAGACTGCCACTTTTACAAATGGCCTCTTCCCATTTACCTCCTTGCATTTTCTTTTTTTTATGTTATAATTATACTGTGTAAGACGGCCACCTATCTAAATCAACCAACTTTCTCATCGACAATGGATGGCTGTCTTAGACAATTTTGACTGTACTAGCTTCTGTTGACGGGGTGGGGGCGGGGGGCAGCATAGATTTAAACAAATGAGGCTTTTATACCAGTTATAGCATCGTTTCTCTATCACACCATGAAAACTAGAAAATGGTTTGACTCTTTACAAGGTCTTTACAGCCGCTATGGGAACCTTTTTTTCCCTGGATGAGCTATGATTGCCTGATAATAGCAGAAAGGAACCTGCCTACATTTAAGGATACCTTGATCTCTTAATATAATGAATTGGTTCTTTTCTAGGCCTTCTCAGTTCAGGCCACCCAGCCCGCATGACTGGCTTCGGCATTGAGGGCCGGGGTGGACAACCTTATCTTGATAAGCTCGCCTCGAGACCGGTCCTTATCTTATCGAGGATCAATGCGAAAAGCGGCGATAGGCAGATGTTCTAATACTAATATGTATACAGGTGATGGAACATTTTTGCATTACGTTTCTGCGTGCCAATAGTGTAATAGTAATGTGTGTAGTGTGTAGCCGTCTAGTCTGTCTAATCTCCTAGCCTTTTCATTGTTTCATTCAGTCCTCTTGGATGCACACGTTTTTTTTCGTTTGGATGTATTTTCACTACACTCAATTCTAAGGATTAAATTTGTGCTTATGTTATGTGTCTTAGTGTTCTGCCCAGATTCTAGTTTTCTTTCATCTTGAATGTTATTGTTACTAGAATCTACTGTTACTGTGAAAAAGTTTTCAGCTGACGTCTCAGTTTCAGCGCAATGAACCGTGTGAGCAACATTTGAACATGTGAAGAAAGTGTAGGGGATGGGGTAGTAGAAGTGGTTATGCCAGCCAAAAGGAAGATGCAAAATAACAATATATAGATTTCCAAAAGATTCGGAAAAAAAGCACAGAGAATCAAAAGTGTTCCAAATAAATAAATCATAGAAGATGTCACGGATTATAATATGGGAGTTTGCTCTCTGGACTTCAAACCTGATGTACCTTTGACACGGGCTGGAAGATTTATGGTGCCCACAGAGTCTCCAACAAAATTTCCAGAAGAACTACCATCATGTTGTGGCACACCAGCTCCAAAAAAGAGAGCAACTACAACAAGTTCAGCTTCTTCTAGAGCTGCTGATATTGATGATATATTTAAAGAAAGAGATGTCTTCAAGTTCGATTCATTTTTATCAAACAATGGATATGACGCTGACAGACATTGGTAATGTTGCAAAGAGTAAAGATCATATTATAATACATTTGTCTTGCTCAGCAGAACTCGAGATGACCCTGTTTTTGCATTTTCCATGTATTCTACTTTTGTTCACCATACCCATGACCATGTGAAAGAGGTTTCATTTGAAGCTTCACAAACTGAAGCCCAAAATCAGGCATCCTGGCTTCACTAGAGATGTTGTCACATGCTAGAGTCAGTTAACCTAGATGAAATTTTGCACTTCGTGTGTAACCTTCCAGAGAGACATCGTTGGCCTGCACTACTACTACTACTACTTGTTGAGTAGGAGTTTTTAAAAAATGGAAACCACTGAAAAACTGCAGAAACTGATTAGTGGCGATTTTGTGGGACTTTCCAGCGATATTCCATCTTGATCGTTATCATAAGCTGATGCGGCTGGCTGATATCTTCATGAAAAGATTTGCTAAGCAAATGAAAGACAGGCGAAGAAAAAAATAGCAAAGTAACGATCAAGATTGTTGATAGATCTATATATATTATATATGGTATATATATATATATATATATATATATATATATATATATATATATATATATATATATATATATATATGTGTGTGTGTGTGTGTGTGTGTGTGTGTCAAAATTAATTTTCTTTCATATTTGTTGAAACATGTAGAATGAGAACGATGTTGCAAGTGAAGAACAAAAATTATCCCACTAGTGTGCCACGGTCTTTTTTTGTGGTAAAATGCAAACGTAATTCATTTTCATGTTTACGAATTGATACTCTGTCACTGGTGAGATGTTCTTTTGTTATAAGAGCCGATAAACTCTCACAAAAAAGCTGCAACAACAAATATGCATTGCATATTAGTAAGGTTCGTTGTAGGCCAGTCTAGTGAGTACAGTGCGATAATGCTCCATCACCCGCACCAACGCACTAGTCTATCGCCGCTTTTCGCATTGACCCTCCGGGGACGTGGTAGGCCTCCAATGCCGAGGCCAGTCGTGCGGGCTGGATGGCCTGGGACTGATGAAGCCTAGGTTCTTTTTAATCTTCAACTACAAATGCTTTTATATTAGTTTTTTGTCCCCTTGTTTAGGTCATGGACCATTCTCCCATCTGTTTGACCAGAAATTTATGCCAGCTGCAACAGGGCGTGAATGGAAGGTAAGTCAGTGCTTTAAGTAAAAGCTCATACATTTTCTTCCTGTTGTTCTATCACAAATGGCCATTAAGCTCTGAAAATTAGAATGAAAGAGTCAAAGGAATGAGACCATGTAAAAAAATTTCCTCAGTCTTGCAGGAGAACATAAGTAATTAACTTTTACAACTTTAATACATTGTATTTCATATCTTTGACGATTTGTAGTCTAATGTACCCAACAGTGCACGAAGCTGGGACTGCTGGTTTCTTCTAACCACGTAGTTGACTAAGCAGAGATAGAAATGTCGGCCTCAATAGCATCTTTGTGAGACTGTATCAGGTACCGACACTAAGCTCTGGTTAACTCTTAATGGACATTGTGTTGATTATAAGTTTAGTTGTGTAGCTTTTGACCTTATTTTTTAAAGTCTGTCTATCGGAGGGTGTTCTCCATTTATTCCATCAGGAGGTACAAGGATTCCTCTTGCCTTGCCAAAAGATTGATCTACTCATTTTCTCAGATGCCTACATGGCTAGGTACCCATGCAAACACGATATGCTTTCCTTGTTCAATGGAATGAATCCTCAACTGTAGTCTAATTATTTTAGGGTTTAGTTTATCTGTCCCCGTCGTTTTATGCAAGAAAAATTTTGAAATTATGCAAACAAGGCCCACAAATGTGAAATTATGCGATTCTGTTAATTTTAGCAAAGAATGGTAAAGAAAAATAATCAGAAATTATGCAAAAAATGGTGAAATTTTGCTAAATTATGTGGGGTGCATAAAACCACGGGGACATGTTTAAAGAGCGTGAAATTAGTGAGTGAAGCGAGACAAGACAAAGAATTGGACATAATGAGAAAGAATGATTTTCCAATGCTATATCAATGGCAGTGGCTTTCCCAGAAAAATTGGAGGCCGCAGGATGGAACCTGAGTGTTGTTTGTGGATAGAGCAGCGGCGCCTACAGCTGAGTCTGATTGAGAGCCATCTGTGAACTTTTTGTCTAGTCTGTGGGAGGAAAAAATGCAGTGAGCGAGTAAATAATAAACTTCACAATATTATTCCCAAATTTTGACCTAGAAAACCTTCAGGTCTCTCCAGAAGAGACAAAGTCATTTGAACCAGACTGCACATTGGAAACACCTCCCAGACGCATAGATACCTCCTGCAGGGAGAAGAAAAACAATATTTTATTAGATGGGATACTGACTTCACGACCAGACACATCCTGATAGAATGTCCAGACTTTGGAGAGACCTGACGGAAGTATCTTAAATGTACGAATCTAAAGAGTTTGTTCTCCATCATTGATCCCAACAGAATTTTTGATTTTATAAAGGCAAATTATATATTTTGAGATACTTCAACCATTTCGACTCGCAAAGTAAAACCAAGCCGTGCTCATGCTATGAATTAACATGTCAAGGTCAGCTTGGTCTGAGAGGGATACTGCTCTCCAGCAGATGGAGAAACCTAATTTTAAAAACTCATGTTTTCTACCCATGAATAAATACAGCTTGATTTGTCCACAGATGCTTACTTCCCTTGCATTTCTGATTTAACAGGGATCTGATATAACAGGACTTTTTCTCTTGTCTCACCATCCCTGTTTTATCAGGTTTCCACTGTATCAGTTCTGCCCACTTCCAGGGGACCGTAGCTTGTCCTTCACCATAGATCATTACTCACTTAAAGCTTCCTGATGTATTGCGCATCACACAATACACTCTACAATTGACCCAACAGAGATACATCCACCTTGTGCGACCAATTGGAGGCCATTTTTCACACCAACACATGTGTTGTTGACACAAGCAGGACATGGGTCTTGTAGGGTGTGCTGGGGTTGAGGGAGGTTAGACAGATGGCTTGCATATGTGTGACTGTGTGTTAGTTTGTGCATGTGTCAGAGGGGGTAAGGTGGCATAAGTGTTGTAGGAATGCAGAAATATTACTGTCATTTTTTGTCCCTGGTTACCGAAGAGTGAAGAGTCATAGGCTCGACTTAGATCTACATTATGAGTTGCAGGATGGTCTGAAAAACCAAATGCTAGGACATACACTGCAATGCAATTTGTTCGGTAAACAATACATCATATGACACAGGTGTACATTTGAATAAATCGATCCTTTTACACACTGTGAGTTTTAACACAGTCCAGTGTATTTTGCGGCACCACTTCAATTTTCAATGTTAGCTAGTTTAGAGCACTTTAGGTATGGCATCAAAGAAAGGAGAATGCCTCTAGTTTTGAACTAACTTGCTCTGTATGTATGAAATTGATTATGGGTAAGGGGTGCAGATTTTTGGGGTGTATATGGCAATGTACCAAGCTGTGTCTTTTTTTTCTAATGTAAGTATTTTTACGGCCTCATCGACACTTTTTTAGATCATTTAGGAGGCAAGCTTCAACACTGCCTGTCAGGGTCAACCTGGCTTGAGAGGGATACAACATTCCAACAGAAAGACCAAGATGCTGTATAAAAATTCTCCCCACTTGGGAGTTGAACTCGGGTCTCCTGCGTGCGACAGCCAAGTACCTAACCATTACATCACGAGACTCCATCCAAGCTTTCTGTCAACTTTTTTGAAAATCAAGTAACAAAGGAGATGATAATAGCAACTATAGACTAAGAAACGTATAATAGAAGATAAAATGAACCCTTGTACTTATATTATTAAATTGAAGCATTTATTTAGTTCTGGTGTGGTTCACATGAAAAAGCAAAAAGTGAATTTTGTGCAAGGCTGACTTTTGTTTTGGGGCTGTGTCAAAGGAAGCAACCGTTCACATAAACAAGTTCTTTGGGATGCCAGTAGTTCTTTCCCTTCGTACTAGCACCATGACATTTCAGAACAGATGTCCCTTTTTGTTACCTATGAAAAATGCTCACTTTTGTCACGCCTTTCTCATAACAAACAGTGGATAACAAACCTGAAAGTCGGACAAGACAACCTTGTTATTTATAAGTGAGTTTCACTGTAATGTATTATTATTTTTCTTTTAATTCATGGTATACATTTTCAGAGGACACCTTGCCTAACAACTTAATAGCTAAAATTAGTAAGACAGTAGAATTGTCTTTACAAGTCAGCTTCTTCCTTTATTTTTCCTTTCAGCACGAGGATGCGTCAGCTTTGATGTTTGACTATCTGATTGAAAAAAATAAGTTAATGAAAGATGATGGAGTTCTGAAAAAATATGGTTTGGATGCTCAGGATATCAAGTTCATCAAAGAGCAAATTGTTGGACCACCTGCAGGAATTGAAGGGGTAAGTTGGATCTTTTTAGGATTTGCTTCCATTGCTCATTAGTCCACAAGGCTAGATTGCAGCTAAAAACTCAAGCTCTTATTTGGACCTCGGGATACATGGCAAACTTTACAAATGGATCAAGTTCTTCCTGTCGGATCGAAACATTGAAACCAAGGTAAACAATGCCCACTCATCAAGAGAAGTCCTCGAAGAAGGCCTACCTCAAGGTTCCTGTCTGAGTTGCACTTTGTTCCTGATCTTCTTTAATGATGTAACGAACGTGCTGAAATCAGAAAAGACTTTTTATGCCGATGATCTTGCTCTCTGGCAGTCACATCACTGCACGATAGTAGGAGCAGGGAAATTAAATGAAGACCTCAAGAGGTTCCACAATTATTGTCAGAAATGGAAACTTAAAATAAACTGCACGAAAACAGTATACACCATCTTCTCGAAGAGCCATAAAGCAGCCAAAGAAAATCTCAAACTAAAGATAGGAAATGAAAGTCTCCCCAAAGAAGAACATCCAACTTGCCTAGGAGTCAAACTTGACCATAAGCTAACCATGAAAAGCCAAGTGGAGAACATAAGGAACAAGGCAAAGAAAAGACTCCAACTTTTAAAGAAACTCGCAAGCAGTTCATGGGGATCAGACAAACAAACTCTTAGAGCTCTATACCTTGGTTATGTCCGATCTTCCCTGGAATATAGCAATAGCCTACTCACTATGTGCAGTACAACTACTTGCAACACCCTTGACAAGGTCCAAAACAATGCCCTTCGTTTTATAAATAGTGGAATGAGATCCACACCTACCGTCGCGTGCGAAATCCTTGCAAATGTTGAACCCCTGGGAATCCGCAGAGATAAAGCAGTTTTGGAGCTACACGAAAGAACAAAAAGAATGTGCCCCAACCACCCAAACAGGAAATTAGTAGAAACATGGAAACCAAAGAAACGAATTCAACAAAAGTCAATCATGCATCACATCACAGAACTAATGGAGAGCCACCATCTACCACAAAACAGAAAAGAAACCCAAAGAGTCAACCAAAACATCCCTCCCCACCTTTCTTTAAAAAAGCCAATCATTACAACATCTCTCAAAGACAAGAGCACAAAATCGTTAGACCCAGTGACGCTGATGCTTGCATCACGTCAAACAATCGACAGCTATTCAGATGACTGGATACATGTCTATACGGACGGCTCAGCATTCAAAGGCACAACCAAAGCCGGATATGGAATACTAATACAATACCCAGATGGAATTTCCAATGAGATCTCTGCAGCCTGTGGAGAGAAATGCAGCAACTACGATGCAGAAATGATAGCAATTGAAACAGCACTGTACCATCTCCGTACAGACTGTGGATCATCACCTGTTCCACTGCACAGCCCTAAATGACATCAGAGCTGCCCTTCTCCCTCCGAGACCTAACATTGACAACACACTCTATGGAACTTTACAGCAACTGCAGCAAACCTGCACTTATCACTACATGGCATTGGACAGAAGGGCGAGAGCCCAGCTGTTGCTGGATCTATAACAACAACAACAACAACAACATTTGGAGCAATGGAAGTCTCACCTCCAAACTTCTTATATTCTTTTAAACCTTATATATTACAGTGGAGTCCTCTGAAACCAAACATAGTCAATCTGAAAACAGCAGTAAACTGAAAGTAAATAAGAATCCCAATTTTTGTTGTTGTTGTTTTCTTTGTCTTTGTAAGAAAAATAATTGCTTCGTCGAAATGCTCTCATTTCTAAACCGACAAGAATTTCAAGGAGTATGTCATCTAAATCTTCACAAGAAACCCTCAATTAACTCAAAAAAATCAAGTCTTACCCCATTTTAAGATAGCAAAACAGAAGAAAGAGACACAAGAGTGCACGTGTTCCCATTGTGGGCCAGAGAGGGGCATTGCCAATGAACTCTTTGCCTATGTTTATCACACATCAATTTGCTTACGTACTGGATATAGGCATAGTGATGCGCTGACTTTGCTTCCAGCCTTATTGACTGGCAGAAGCCACACCTCTACAATATTTTTAATGTTGATTTGAAAAAAAGTATGTACCAAATCTGAACGCATTTGGGCCAGAATTGTTCATTCAGAAGTAAAAGAAAAATGGTCTTTGAAAATTTGATATAGATCTATATGCATTCTTTTTTTTTACCTTTGCTAAGAAAGGATGAAATCATATTAATGTGCCTGACCGTCAGTCTGAACCATCATGTTATGAACAGGAAACCCAGTTGATTCCATTCATATTAAGATTTTTTATTTTTTTTACATGCTCATGCCTTTAAACTTAAAGTTTTGTTTGAGATCGGTCAATGTTATTTTTGCTAAATGTGAAACTGAATTCAAGTAATTTCTGATCATTCTTTTTTTCATAAAATAGCAGTGTTCCGTTGTTTTGTACAGGTCTCAGCAGGAGTTTCTTGAGCGCTTGTTAGACCTCTTTATAATAATAATAATAATAATAATAACTGCATTTATATAGGGCATATCCAAGCTCAAGAGCATGCTCTATGCGCTTTACAACTATTATTACCCCAGCAGACCCTCTGAGAACACTCGGAAACATTTTCGGCTTCCGCGGAAGCATACAATGCAAGCTGCGAATTTCACGCGCTCAAACACTATCAAGCTGACAAGATCGTTCACTGTCTATAGCCGGGTACCCATTTCCACCTGGGTGAAGTGAGGAAACTTTGTGCAAAGTGCCTTTCCCAAGGACACAACGTCAGGCCCCTGACAGGATTCGAACCCACGACCTTACGGTTGCGAGTCCGAGAGCCTAACCCTTTTTCATTTTGATTTTTCTCATTTTACTGTTTCATATTTGCATCAAAGCATGGACTTGTCTGTTTAAGTCAGCAAAACCCCAAGCAAAAATTGCAATGATAGAGGTCAATGTGGCTAATTCCTGCATGGCTCGCCACGTGATTCTGTTCCGCAATTTCTACAATGGTAGGCTTGGCTATGATAAAAGTTGATCCCTGACAATAGAATTGTTGCCTTGTTTTCATTTTTGGTAGGAAAGTATGTCAGAGCCTGCATCATCAGTCAGGATTTACTTTTATTTCCTGTAAGCACAATAGAATGTGAATACCAGGAAACTGCTCATTGCACAGGAAGTTAAACAAATGGGCTGCCATTGGTTACATTGGTGAGACGTGCTGACAAAATGAGTTACTTTTCGGATTTTAGCCCTTTGAAAATAGATCAGATACATCGTACTAACAGGTGGAATTTGTACAATTTAAACAAAATGATGAAAGACAAGTTGAACATGAGGAAAATAACATCAACTGAAAATTTACAAATTTTAGCCATGTCTATTTTCTGCCAATGTCTCTATTCATGAATTGCGAGAAGTAACTCATTTTGTCAGCGCGCCTCCAAGCTGCCCTTTCATTCACCACCATAAACCATTCATTCATTAATTTGAAAGTAAACTTTTCGCAAATTTTTGGTGATCTTTTGTTTTTTATTTTTTTTGTGTGTGTTGGTTTACTATTTTATCCTTTCAGGAATGGCAAATGGAGGGAAGGCCAAAAGAAAAAGGTTTCCTGTACGAGGTGAGCTGAGTGGGATTGCGCGTGAACTTATTCCCTATCCATCGATCCATTGTGGCCTGTTGAGAGTGTGCTATGGTTGTATTTTTGTTTCTCTAAGCAACAAAACATTGCTTCAGAGAAGGGGGGGTTGAGAGAGAAACCCAAATATGCTAGTGGACAAAAATTGTTGACCAAGGCAAACCAAATATTTGGCTGTTTTCAGGAAGTCCAAATTGTTTTCCCAAGTGCTGGAAATACATGTAGCAATCAAGACCTTTTTGTGGGTAGGGTTTTGTTTATTTTGGCTTTCACTAATCAATTTTATTTGATTTCCCTCGTCTAATTTTGCTTACTTTGGTGCATTATGAGATTTTTAATGGGATGATAATGATTTAATGACCGAGTTATTTTTTACGTGTTCCATCCATATGTGTTCATGTTCAAGTAATCTGTGCAATACCGGCCGTTAAAGCTCTCATGCGTGTCTAGTTATTTTGTGCAGATGTGCATACAGAGTAGATTTTGACATCTGCTAGAATCTATATTATAATGAGGATGTTTGTTACATGTTTAGTTTCTATTTTAGCGCCTACTCTAGATCGTCTCAGGCTTGCTCTGGTCTCTTTTCATTACTTTGTCAGGTAGTAGCAAACAAGAGGAATGGCATTGATGTGGACAAGTGGGACTACTTTGCCAGAGACTGTCACCATCTTGGCATTGCCAACAGCTTTGACCATGCCAGAGTCATGAAGTTTGCCAGAGCTTTACAAGATAAAGGAAACTGGCAGATCTGCGTCCGTGACAAGGTAAGCTTTTCTGCCATTTGCAGCTCCTGAAATGGTATATTATGATGAGGTGTGGTTTGGGTCAAACACCTCCGTAAACATGGTTTGTTAGAAGAGAGATGCCCAAATTTTATGCCCACCTCCGATTAGACTGAGCCAAATGGGCTGATGACCTTGATATTTACCCAAATATGCCACACCTATATATATATGTATGTATGTATATATATATATATATATATATCGTCGGCAGAGAATTCTAACCGTCTAACTCGAAATTTTCTCGAATTGCTTTTTTCCTTAAAATAGATCGACATAACGAATGGCTACGTCCTATTAAAATCTAGAACAATTTTGACAAACAAAAGTCTTGTTTTAAAGAGAAATTCTAACCGTATATTATATTCCGACTGACTTCCGTGACTGAAGAATTCTGACCGTCTAATTCGT